AGAAAGGGCTGTGATGGCAGACTTGCAGCTGGTTTGAGGGAAATGTGGATCCAGCTCTGGAGCTGAGTCTTAGAGCAAAACAAGGAATTGGTCCTGCAGAAATGGTCCATGAACGTGAACCAGAGAAACATTTTTGGAGTTTGGTATTTGCAGGTTCCTTGAAAAAATGTTTCATAATTAAAAAGTTTGATGAAGGACTTTCTCATTCAAAGATTTTAGTATTTCCCCATTGCCAAGGGAGAGTGGGGACTAACCAGACAATTAGCTGCTTCTTGCTGCAGAGTGGGTAAGAGGTTTGGATTGCCTCTTTAAAGGAGAGTAAACCCTGTTTGTTGTGACTGCTTCTGTGATGGGTGATCAAAGGGCAGTGTGGACGGTGAGAAAATAAAGGATGACATTTAGATACTCAACCATAATGCTGCATTCTTTACTTTTAAAAAGAGAGAGAAGGAAGAAAAGAAAATATATCCTTACAAGTTTTAAATGTTCTTTAATTTGAGAAAACCTGCCATGGATGGAAGGAAGGACAAACATTTGACATTGTTCAATATTGAGGACTCCTGAAGTCCAGTTACCCTGAACTAGCTTTTACCTTCTTGATTTGAAGTAGTGGGTCCCAAAATCAGTTTGCCTGCTTCTGGTAGGTTTGCAGGGTTAGGATGTGAGGTCTGCAGAGAAAGAAAGTTTCGGCTAGATTTCTTACTTACTCAGAGTGGCCCTCCAAACCCTGGTCCCTGTCAGAGAAGCAGGAAACCAAAGTCTTGTCTCCCATCCTTAATTAGCTTTTTGTAACCATCCCACATCCCTTTTTCTGTATGTTTCCATGTTCATGACTATACAAAGGCCATTGTAACAGCTTAGAAGTTAGGGGCACAGGCTCCAGAGCTACTGTGCAGGGGTTTGAAATTTAGCGCCTTCATTCATAAGCAATGTGACTTCAAACAAGTTGCTTTAATCTTTCTGTGCCTTACTTTTCTCATCCGTAAAGTGGAAATGGAAATGGAATTAGAACATATTTTATACGATCATTGTGAGGATCAAGTGAGTTCATACATGTTCAGTGTTAGCTGTGTGCCTGGCACATGGTAAGAGTTCAATTCATGGAATCTATTATCCTGGAAAGGTTGGAAGAAGGATGCATTAAAATAAGTGGAACGCATAGAGTTCTGAACAGAGAGATCCATGTACCTTTGTCTTCATAGCATAGGTCTATGCTACATTATTTCACAGATAACTTACGATGTGCATAGTGCTGTGCTATGCATCCAAGCTTGGCAATTTTAAGACAATTCCTACCCTCCAAGGATTTAGAGCTAGGTCAGTAGGAAAGATGGCAGGCTTAAAGCTGATCAGCTGCAATCCAGGGCAGTGTATGGGATCAAGTGCCTACACAAGGATAATGGGTATACATGGTGTAGGATCCTAAAAAGATACTATAAAACATTCATATATGTATAATAGAAGTCCCCAGAATTATTCAATACCAATCTTTGAGGCTCATTTTTGCATGCAGTCACAAGATATGAATGTTTAGGCTTTGAAAAGGGAAAAAGAGCCTCTTAATCAACTCCAGGTAATGCTTTTTCTGTCCTGCTGTAACAATACATGATCATATTTCTCTAATCATTTATCTCATTGTTTTGCAGTTATCTACTGATGCACTACTCTCCTTTACCACCCCTGGAGGGGTGAAGACTATGTGTTACTCATCTTTATATCCCCTGCCTGGAGCCCATGGCCTGCACTTAGTAGGCATTTAATAAAGGTTGGCTGAAGGAATGAATCAATGCTCAGAGTACATTTCCAGCGTAACTAAAATTGAATGCCACCAACTTCCCTCTTTTGGACATAGATTATAGTTTATCTGTCCAGACTCCCTAAGTGCCAATTTTTGACCCCTCCTTTGCCTCCATACAAATAGTCTCCAAGTCTTACTTCCATTTACTCTCTCAACATCTCAGTCTCCACTATCCTATGTCAAATGGGCCTCATTTTATGTCTGGATAATTACAACAAACACAGCTAGTGTTCACACCTTTGTTTAAGCTCTCTCTTGCTTTGAATATCCTGTTACCCATCTCCATCTATCTAAACTCCAACTAACCTCTAAAATCAACCATATTTTCCGGATTCTACTTGAAATATTCTGATATCTCAGACTCTGGTAACCTGGCTTTTATCTCTCTTCTGATCATAGCTTGTTTACTGCTGTGCATCACTGCTAGAGTATCTAGTCCTTACAACATCTTTGTGAGAAATCTAATAGTCTCCCCATTTTGCAGATGGTAAAACTGAGGCTCACCAGCATTAACTTTCCAAGGTCACATAACTAGTTTGCTGTCTGACTTCAGAGCTCTTTCTTCTGTACCTTGCTACCTCACCCCAAGTAAAATGTCAGCTTCTAGGGAGAGGATTCTGCCAATACTTTATCAGCAGACTCTCTTGCAAGTTGCTTTACAAATAGTAAGAATTCAAATGTTATTAATTAGCTTAAAAATCCTGTTTGAATGTACTGTTCTTGAACAGGGATGATGAAGGGGAGGATTATTGGGTAGAATAAAAGCACTAGGCCAGGCACAGTGCTCACACCTGTAATGCCAAGACTTCAGGAGGCAGAAGCAGGAGGATTGCTTGAGCCGAAGCAGGAGGATTGCTTGAGCCCAACCAGGAGTTTGAGACTAGCCTAAGCAATGTGGTGAAACTCCGTCTCTACAAAAAATATAGAAATTAGCCAGGAGTGGTGGCATGTGCCTATAGTCCCAGCTACTCAGGAGGCTGAGGCTGGAGGATCACCTGAGCCTGGGAGTTGAGGCTGCAGTGAGATGTGATTGCACCATTGCACTCCAGCCTGGATGACCTTGTCTCAAAAGAAAAAAAAAAAGGCACTCAAGTTTTTTTTTTTTTTAATGGCAGAAAGTGCACAGTAGCATGGAGGATGACAAAAGTCAGCAGACCTGCTAAACCTATGTGAATGACCATTGACTCCCCACTTTCATGTAGAGTTTAAAGAGAATCGTGAGTATTTTCTCTTACATGGATTATCCCAGCACTCCGGAAATCTTTAGGTATTTTAAAAACATCTATCTAAACATTAAAATGCTCATCACAATGATGATACTGGAATAGCAGATTACTACGTAAAAACACCAGTCAATCTCAGCAGGAAGTCATTACCAAGGTAGGAAAAACGTTTGGATAGGAAAGGCTGTTCATGAGTTACCAAAGCCATGATCTTCATCTCCAAGATCTTTGAAAATGAAGAAAATGTCCACTTGTCTTCTGGAGTGAAGGAGCAGGAAACAGGACTAGAATAGTGAGCTCAACAGATTACTCCTTCATTTGCAAACTTTTCCAAGGCAGACTCTTAAACCAGGAGTGAGTGTGGGATGGCATCAATGCAGGTTATAATTATGTGCTAGACTTTAATGCATTCCATCTCAAGATGTTTTAAGAGTAGCTCATTCTTATGCCTTTATAACTAAAATAAAACCTTAAAAATATGTATCGTTTTCTTGCTGGAAGAAATTGAAGAGATTATTTAATTCAAACCTTTTTATTTTATACCTGAGGCAACCCAGAGAAGTTAAGTAATTTACCGAAGGGCACAGAGTATCTGATTTATAACCGTAAAACCCACCCCAAGACTTTCCCTTGGTATGACATTAATATAACTGTTCTACTCAGGGCCAGGGGATGTTAATGTAACAGATTCAGTCACGTTAATATATCAAGTCCAGCCAAATTGCAAGTGTTAGATGACCTCAAGCAGATTCACGAAACAAATTTTTTAAAAAAGCAAAAAGCAAACAAAACACAGTATTTTCTTGCTTTCCGGGTGCACACAGCTGGGTCTCCTTCTTGTGGGCCGGGATTGGAGGCCAACTCACTGCTCTCTTGGGCTTTGGGCTTAGCTCACGGTCTTGCTCACAGCCACACTCTCTCACCGCCTCATCTCCGTGGTGGGCACCAACCCTGTCTGTGGCTCAGCCAGCTTTCTCTTTCCCCACACAAAACAGGTGTTGAGCCCTTCCTTTGTCTCACACCCCATACTAAGTGCCAACTGCTTATTATTTATTACCTCATTGAAACTTCACCAGCACTTCGGGATGCAGGTACAGGAACTGCAGTTATCCTCATTTTGTAGAGTATGTTACAAAGCTATTCTACGGCAAAACTGTAGGGAAAAACCTTACCTATCACTGCCTGAATGCTGTGGGAACTTTTGGCAAGTTACAGAAACACTGTGACTCAGTTTCCTTATCAATAAAATGAGATAATAATAGTGCAGACCTCATTGTGTTGCTGTGTCGATGAGGTAATTTGCCAACTAGCTGACTAGAATAGTGTGTGGTACTATGCAAGCACTGTATAAATATGCTGTTATGTTTAGTTACCATCCTATCCCCTCAGTGCTTCTTACACATCCTGCACGTGTACAATATGGCCCTCAGATCTGAGCCCACACCACAACCTGTGGCTCAACCACCTTCCTTCATATAGATATGGTAGCAGCTTACCACATGTGGCTCCTGAGCACTAGAGATGGGTCTAGTCTGAATTGAGACGTGCTGTAAGTGTAAAATACCACTGGATATCAAAGACTCACTGTGAAAAAAGAATGCAAAATACCTTTTTTTATATGCTGATTGCATGTGAAATGTTTTCAATATATTGAATTGACTAAATTTATTATTAAAGCAAATGTCATTTTTTCCTTTTCATGTTTTTTAAAAATAAGGCTAGTCCCGTTTTTTTTGTTGTTTGTTTTAGAGATAGGGTCTCACTCTGTCGCCCAGGCTGGAGCGCAATGGCGCAATCCCAGCTCACTGCAACCTCCACCTCCCAGGTTCAAGCAATTTTCCTGCCTTAGCCTCCCGACTAGCTAGAACTACAGGCACATGCCACCATGCCTAGCTAATTTTTGTATTTTTTGGTAAGGACGGGGTTTCACCATGTTGGTCAGGCTGGTCTTGAACCCCTGACCTCAGGTGATCTGCCCGTCTCAGCCTCCCAAAGTGCTGGGATTACAGGCATGAGCCACTCTGCCCGGCCTAGAAAATTTTAAATTGCTTGTGTGACTTGCATTCTATTTCTGTTGACCAGCGCTGGATTAGAGTAGCCTTCTATGTGTTCTCGGTCAGATTCCCAGGGAGAGTTTCTGGCTCAGCCCTGAGTCAGCAGAGCCCTCCTCTGTGATGAGTACCCACCCTGGTACAATCAGCTTTGTGGGGAGAGTGGCACAAGATGGGGTGCTGGCTCAGCAGAGGCTGTGGGTGTGGTGGGCAGGATAAGGCCATGTCTAAGATAAGGTGTCCTCCTGTTTTCAACAAGAAATATTACATGAGCAAATGGCAGGATTATTTATTGAGCCACATAGGTGCACTCTCTCTACCTTTGCACTCCCCTCCTCATTCTAATTGGTAGTTGGGCCTTTTGAGAATCCCTGTATCCGGGGAGTTTGTGGTTCAGGGCCAAAGCAGAGGTGTTGGAGATTACCCCTGTATCTGTGGTAGGTGGATTATGCCAAGTGGCCCAAGGTAAAGGGGTGAGGTTAAATAAAAAGGAGAAGAGGGACACTTTTGTCTCTAAGACTGAGACAGGAGCAGAGGGGAGTGGAGAAGAGGTTAGCCACTTTCCTGCTAGGGGCAAAGATCTGTGTCAGGACCCAGTGGAGGGAGTGGGAAGAACCTCAGCAGGGGAAGGCCACAGGGTGCACCTGGCAGGCTGAGCTCTCAGCACCCAGGCCACAGCCTTGCTGAAGACCTGAGCCCGTTTTTTGCGTAGAAGCCTTCCAACTAACAGTCTTCAAGTGACCACATGAGCTCTGAAAACTATCATAGCAGCAGCCATGGAAGGAACGTACCCTAATTTTCTAGACCTCCCAGAATTTCTCATGACTCAGTGGGAGATTGAGATTTCCTCCATCCTAGTGGGATAGAGGCTTAGAGAAACCAGATTGAATTTGTTTTATTTTGTTCTGGGTGTGGGGAATACTGGAGTCCTAGGCCAAGGAAGCCCACCTTCCCTTGGTGTTTGTAGGATAGATAGTCTCATCTACACTTGCAACGAAAGGCTTAGCAACCTGGTCCCTAAGCCAGTGCCTTGCCTATTCAGTCACTCATATCTTTAGGCTTTTCTGAGTGGAGACAAGGCCTAACAGTCAGGACATTGCTCTCTCTGCAGCCCCCTACTCCACATCACCCAGGACTATCAATCCTAGGATTCTCTCAGACACCTTGCATTCAAACGGCCACCAAATCCTACCTCCACCTGATCTCCTGAGTCCATTCCTCTTTCTTTATCTTCACTGTTGATGTTGCAAGCTTCTAGGTGATGCTGGTGTTGCACTCTGGGGACCACACTTTGAGGACCACTGATCTATAGGCTCTGTGGTATTATCAGGTGTCTCAGCAGATTCTTAGATGCATGCAAATGTGAACTCCAGCTTTCAGGCAGTTGATACAGGAGGTGCCTATGCCATGTGTTATTTTTTTGTACCAAACGTTGCTCTTGGGCTAACATATCAATTCTACTTCACCAAGAGTAACTTCAGTCCACACTGACTCAAGAAACCAAGAATGCCGAGACGCATTTCATTCAAACATTCTCCCCTTGGCAGGGAGATCAAGATGGAGGCATCCGGCTTCTGCCAAGGATGTCAGTGTTAGTCCTATGCAAAACCAGTTCTGGTTCTTTCTTGTTCTTCACACAGGTTTGAACAATGATGCGACTGTAAACCGTGTGCGTGTGTGCGCGTGTGTGCTAATACGATTTAGGCTGGATTTGGACACTGAGGTACAGTTCCTGGAGATGCTGAGGATTAGTGGTAACAGCTGTTACTCTCCCCATTAGAGGAAAAACTGAAAGGAGAATACTTTTGTGTAAGGGATGTGTTTGCAACTCTGAGGGAGGCAGCCGTTCTATCAAGCCTGAAGAAAAGTGTGTTCCTAGGTAAGTGGATGTTTTCTTTTTATTTAGTTAGTTTTGTAGAGACGGGGTCTCCCTATGATGCACAGGCTGGTTTTGAACGTCTGGCTTCAAGTGATCTTCCTGCCTCACCCTCCCAAAATGCTGGGATTACAGGTGTGAGCCACTGTGCTCAGCTCCAAGTGGATGTTCTTCAGCGTTCAGGTAGACAAGATGCTGGTGGGAAAGAGGACACGGTGAAACCTAAGGCAGGAGGGTGGGAGGTGGGGCTGTGGCTGCAGTCTGCGAGACGAGGCACTCACTCCCCTTCCCTTGTAGGCACCTGTGTCTGATCTGCCTTTGGAAAGTAGACCACTTGCCATCAGCAAGGGCTTGAGAAGCATTTTCATTTCATTTCTTTCTCTTCTTTTCAGAGACAGGGTCTTGCTCTGTGCCCAGGCTGCAGCCTCAACCTCCTGGATTCAAGTGATCCTCCTGCCTCAGCCTCCCGAGCAGCTGGAACTAGAGGTGCGCACCACCATGCCCAGCATTCGAGGGGCATTTTCTATGTGGCCCTTGTGAAAGAAAATGAGAGGGACCCTGAGCCCCCTTGACTGAGAAAATGCTTTTACAGTTCATCTTCATTATCTCCTAATGTGTCTGAGAAGCCCTAGCAATGGTTCCCTGTAGTATGGAGATGTGTGACTTCAGTGCTTCATAGAAAACAAACTTAGAAAAGAAAGGCATTGTCTGAAGGACTCTTAAATCTAAGAAATTTGAGGTATAGATCATATTCCTGTTTTCTTTTAGCTTGTGAATGTAAAAGGTGGTTGTGTGTGAAGAGACAATAGGAGTGGAGGATACTTGATTATTTGGTTTATGGATTATTTCCTTAGTCTATGGTTTTGATAGCTAGTTTCACTACATTTTCAGGATTTAATTTTTACCTTTTAAAACCAGCTGACTACAGGGGAGGGCCTTTTTTTTTTTTTTTTTTTTTTTGCCTTGCATTGCTCCTTGGGTCAAAATATTAGCCAAACTTCTAAAATGCCTGTGTACAGAACTATAAAAAAAAACAAAACAGAAACAACTGGTTTTGTTGTTGTTGTTGTTTTTGGAAATGGAGTCTTGCTCTGTTGCCCAGACTGGAGTGCAATGGCACGATCTCAGCTCACTGCAACCTCCGTCTCCCAGGTTCAAGCAATTCTCCTGCCTCAGCCTCCCGAGTAGCTGTGGCTACAGGCACATGCCACCACGCCCAGCTAGTTTTTTGTATTTTAGTAGAGACAGGGTTTCACCTTATTGCCCAGGCTGGTCTTGAACTCCTGTGCTCAGGCAGTCCACCCGCCTCGGCCTCCCAAAGTGCTAGGATTACAGGCGTGAACCACCACACCTGGCCTAAAACAGCACTGTTAAAAAATGCCTGTGATAATCCTAAATATTTATGTAGGCATTCATCTGCCTTGTTTGCTATCTCTCATTTTATTTTTGTCAACTTCTTTTACATTGCCAAATTTTAATTCTTCCTCTTGATGGGAATTAGAGGTAGTAAACAAAAGTAAAATTTACTCTATAAATGCTATTTTATTGAATCATTGTGTTCTATTCCTCAGCCAACATTTTTATCAGTATGTTTAAGAAGGTATAGAATAAATTGAGTATTTCTTTCTCTGCTCATCTTCTTTCTCTGCTCATCTTCTAGGATATAGCTAAAAACAGCCAAAGAAACGACAAAGAGATATCAAAGCAGTGCCAACTTAACAGTCACCTCTAAATAATTAATAGTTGGTAGACTTTTTGTAGCACTTAGCTTGGTAATTTTCAGTTGTAACAGAGATAAGACGCTCAGCCAAGCCACCCCATGCCGTGCCTCCTGACCATAGTGGTATATTGGGTATCTACTTCAGCAATAATGTATCAGAGCTTACGCTGCCCTTGGGTACCAGTCAGCTTGTAAGGAGCTCACGCTAGGATGCAAACATTTTCTGGTTTTATTTCTTTGACTCCATAATTAAAGCCTCTCTTTTGAACAACAACAACATAAAAGCAGTCTGGTCTTACGAGAAAATTATAAGAACAGAAGTTTTTAAAAAGGTGTTTGGAAATGAAACACTTCCTTTAGCCTGGCATTTCTTTTTGATCTTGGCCTTGAGCATTAGCAATCCTGGGAGGCTGCACTAAAAGCATCTCGGGTACAAAGGCAGTGTGGGGTTCAGGTTAGTCACATCCCAAGAAGACTTTATGTCATTTTCCTCAATAGCGTCTGGACTGAAGCTGCTGTTTGTCATGATACAGGGGAGGGCAGGATGAGGATGCGGGCTGCCCTCGTGGGCTGGGCTTGCACCACCCTCTGCCTGGTTTCCTGCTCATCTGCCTTTTCCCATGGTGCCAGCACGGTGGCCTGTGAGGACATGCAGCCCAAGCACATTCAAGCCCAGCCTCAGCACCAGGACACCCACCACATCACCATCCACACCCGCAGGTCTTCCTATGCACCAGGTGACAAGATTCCAGGTATGTACCGGAGAGGCTTTGAGAGACTCTGAGGAGCCCCAGAGCCCCCATGGATCTTCCAGTTTGTGTTTGTCCCAGTAAGAAGCTTCCTGGACTAAATTTGACTTAATCCTTTTTTTTTTTTTTTTTTTTGTAGAGATGGAGTCTCACTATGTTGCCCAGGCTGGTCTGGAACTCCTGGGCTCAAGTGGTCCTCGCACCTCAGGCTCCCAAGAAGATGGGACTACAGGCACATGCCACTGTGCCATGCTAATTTTTTGTATTTTTTTTTTTTTTAGAGACAGAGTCTTGGTATGTTGCCCAGTCTGGTCTCGAACTCCTGGGCTCAAGTGAACCTCCTGATTCAGCCTCCCAAAGTGCTGGGATTGTAGGCACAGGCCACCATGCCCAGCCTGGCTTAATCTTAAGAAGCAATTATCAGCTTAAAAATAAGCATAAAATATTTGTGTCATAAAAGCCGCATAACTAAACTCTGCATTGATTATGATCTGTATAAGAAGGCACAAATATCATTATTATAGAAAATTATTTTGTCCTTATAATAAGATATAAATGTATCTTATTATGGACACAAATATAGTTACTCTGAACAACCTTCATATATCGTCTATGTGTGTGAAATATACTTTTTTCTCATTATTTAAAACTAAAATTCATCCATCAACAGACACTTTGGTGAGAAGATGGATGTTTTAATTTGCTTGACTCTAGTAACCATTTCACTATGTGTAAGTATATCAAATCATCATGTTGTACACTTTAAATATATACAATTTGATATTTTTTTAAATTAAAATATTAGGGGATGAAAAAACCATTTCCTGCTCTCTTAGTTTAGGTGCCTATAAAAGCAGGGAAAGAACATAAGCGCAGGTGGTTTATGTGAGCGATCATCCCAGGAAACACAGGTGAGGAAGAGGGAAAGGGAGCTGGGCAAGAGGAGACGATAATCAAGGGCATGCAACTGAGCAGGTCGCTGCTGTGGGCACCCGAGGTGCATTCCGGTGGGGACCCTCTGAGAAGCCATGTGAAACGCCTCTGAATCATCTCTCAGGAGGATGCAGGGGCAGGGCACTTACCAGTTTTGGGTTGCCCTCCCAGGGGTGTTTCTACTTCCATGCCCACCCCCACTCCCCAAACTCACACACACTCTCCAGAGTCCATAGCTTACCTTGGACCAAGCTTGGAAGTGGCAGTGAGGGACAACAGAGGAGGAAGCTACAGATGCTTCAGATGCCACTAAGTGTAGGCAGAAAACTATGCACCCAAGGCGAGCTCCATCAGCAACTTTTGCCCTAAACCCCTCTTGATTTTTACTGATTCTTTTGACGGGAACTAAAGGTGACAAACAAAAATGAAATTTACTCTATAAATATTGTTTTATCCATTCGTTTCATTCTGTTGAGAAGTGTGAAAAAACATGGGTGAATAGTACATGAGTTGAACATCAATATACTCCCCAATATACTGAATTAAGGCTATTGTTACAGAGCTTCCCAAACTTTGTCGCATCATGACACAGAAAGCGAGTGTGTATGTAGCACCCCGGGGCAAATGCAAGAGGTTCCCCAAGGAAGGCCACTTCTTTGGAGTCTCCAACCACCCTAGTATGCATCCAGCCCCTCCCAGCATGAAGGGATTAGTATGTCAGTATCCTAGTGTTCTGTGGCTAGGGGAATAACAATGGTAAGAATCAAAACACTATGTCAGCTAGGCTTGGTGGCTCATGCCTGTAATCCCAGCACTTTGGGAGGCCAAGGTGGGTGGATCACTTGAGCTCAGGAGTTTGAGACCAGCCTGGGCAACATGGCAAAACCCCATCTCTACAAAAAAAAAAAAAAATACAAAATTAGCCGGGCATGGTGGCTTGCACCCTGTGGTCCCAGCTATGCTAGAGGCTGAGGTGGGAGGATTGCTTGAGCCTGGGAGGCAGAGGTTGCAGTGAACTGAGATAGCACAACTGCACTCCAGCCTGGGTGACAGTGACAAAGTGAGACTCTGTCTCAAAAACAAACAAACAAACAAAACCCAAAACCAAAAAATGCTATGTCAGGGAGAGAAATCTGTGGAAATAACTACAAATATTGTGATCCCTAAATTCTGAAGGTATCCTGAGGGAAACATAATTGGATTGTAACTGGAACCAAGACAGCATATGTAATAAATAACTTAAGGGAGCGCCTCAGGGATTCAGTGAGAGTCAGCTATTACTCACTTACGTTGTAAGTATACTGTTTTCTTACCGGGATCTGTGAGTCCTTGAAGGTAAGGGCCATGATATCCTGCTCATAGATATATACTCAACACCTAGCATAGTGCCTGGTGTTCAATAGTTCTAAATATTTGTTCAAATGTTTATTAATAAAAGTTCAAATGTGTGGAAAATAAAACAATCCTAGACACCAAGCTGCATTTAGCAAATTTATAAAGGTCTGACCCTGGTTTTAGCCACTCATTCCCTTGAACATGAGTGGCTAATTTTTTAAAAAAAATTTTAAATAGCTTAAAGATATTACATGCTTTAAAAATGTTAAAGTAGTATCAAAAAGTAGAAAATTAAAAGTACTTTTCCTTCTCTTGCTCTGAACACTCAATTTGACTCTCCAGAGGTAACTCTTGTTAAGTTTCTTGCACCTCTTTTCAGAAGTTTTCCATGCATATAAGCATATGTGAGTGAGATCTCAAATTAATATAATCTTAAGCAGACACAAATTAAATGTCTGTGTAATGTTTATATTTTTTTTACCTAACAATCAGATTGATATCTTTTATTGGATACAGAGCTTGGTTTTTTTTTTTTTTTGAGACAGAGTCTCGCTCTGTCGCCTAGGCTGGAGTGCAGTGGCGCGATCTCAGCTCACTGCAAGCTCCGCCTCCCAGGTTCACACCATTCTCCTGCCTCAGCCTCCCCAGTAGCTGGCACTACAGATGCCTGCCACCACACCTGGCTAATGTTTTTTTTTTTTTTTTTGTATTTTTAGTAGAGATGAGATTTCAACGTGTTAGCCAGGGTGGTCTTGATCTCCTGACCTCGTGATCTGCCCGCCTCGGCCTCCCAAAGTGCTGGGATTACAGGCATGAGCTACCGTGCCCAGCCACAGAGCTTGCTTTTAATGATTTCATGACAGTCCATTGTCTAGAGGTCACATGATTGATTTAACCAGTTTCTTATTTACGGGAATTTACTTTTTAAATTTTTTTTCATAAACAGTTTTGATGGACATCTTTATTCATATGTCTCTGCTCATCATATGCATCGGGATTGTTTTAGCTGCAAGTATCAGAAAAAATGATTAACGGAAACTTGACGAGTAAAAACATTTAATTTTCTCTCTTGAGTCTGGAGGCACAGTTTCTGTATTGCGTGAAGCCATTCAATACATCATCGAGATCCTAAGATTTTTCCATTTTCCTGCCGTCATTAGCAAGTTGGGTTTTCATTCCTTTGACGTTGCACAGTCTCAGGATGAGTGCCGTGGTTTTAGGCCTCGCACTGGGATGACAGCTGGAATAAAGGCCTTACGTGAAAAGACTGATCCTTAGACATTAGCTGTTCTCTCAGCAGATTTGGCCTCATTGGCCAGAATTCTGTCTGGTGAAGGGGAACAGAATCACCAACACTGGTTTCAGTCTAATCACGGTTCATCCCCTGGAGAAAAGGAGAAGCCTAACTTCCCTGAAGACAGGTGGTCTCCACTTGCCACATGAATGTAGCATCTGGGTTCTGTTAGCAGAACCATCTGTTCTGCTAGCAGGGAATAAGAAGACAATAGCTGTTGAGTATTGGACATCAGTGTTTGCCATATTTATTTGTTCAAGTTTGTCAGTGGGGAAAATTCTTAGCTACAAAATTTCTAGATCAAAGAGTAATGATTTTTGGAGGGCATTTCTTTTATTGTGTTTATATACATATATCATAAACTTTACCATTATAGCTGTATACAGCTCAGTGGCATCAAGTGCATTCACAATGTTGTACAGCCATCATCACTATCCATTTCCAGAACTTTTCCATCATCCCAGATGGACACTCTGTACTGGCCATCCTTCCCTGTGCCCAGCCTCAGCCAACTTTAAATCTTCTTTCTGTCTCTGTCAAGCCGACTGCTCTGGGTGCCTCACAGAAGCGGAATCATGCAATATTTGTCATCTTCGGTCTGGCTTATTTTACTGTGTTTTCAGTAAACACTGAAAGTGCTAACTGATAAGGTAGCATGTATCAGAGGGGTACTTGCATTTTAAATGTGGAAGATGTTGTCAGGTTACACCACAAAAAGTTGGATGGTTTGTAGTCCCAGCACTAGTGAATGAATGTCCTAGTTTTTCCATAGTCTTATCAAGACTGTTTACAACCACACATTTTAACATTTGCTAATATGAAAGGTGTAAAATAGCATCTCATTTATAATTGCTTTTAAAACATTACTGAGCAGCCAGGTGTGGTGGCTCACGCCTGTAAGCCCAGCACTTTGGGAGGCTGGGGAGGGCAAATCACGAGGTCAAGAGATCGAGACCATCCTGGCCAACATGATGAAACCCCCGTCTCTACTAAAAATACAAAAATTATCTGGGTGTGGTGGCGCATGCCTGTACTCCCAGCTACTTGAGAGACTGAGGCAGGAGAATCGCTTGAACCCGGGAGGCAGAGGTTGTAGTGAGCTGGGATCGTGCCACTGCACGGCAGCCTGGTGACAGAGCGAGACTCTGTCTCAAAAAAAAAAAAAAAATTACTAAGCTTGTTTTATTTTCTGTTTGTATCCTTTCATTATTTTGAGGGAGTCATCTTTTTATGGATTCACCATGACTCTGATTATTTGTCCGCTGTATGTCTTACAAATACTTTTCTTTGGAAAATAATTTTTTTTAATCATCTGTCCTAAGTTCACCTAACCTTATATTTTAAAAAAATATAGCACACTTTACTCATCTTTTCCTTTATGGCGGCTGGGTTTTGCTCAGAGAGGTATTTCTAAATCCAGTATTTATAAAAAGAAAAAAATGTTTCTAGTTATATTTTATTTGATTTTCGCATACCTTTGATCCAAATGGAATTTATTTTGGTGTGAAATAGGACTTCAACTTCTCCCCCCCCCCCCCCAATGAATTGTTCACTTTCTAGGGGTTGATCTTAAGCTTTTAGTTTTAAAAAAACCTGCATAAAATCACCAAATGGAACTAAGTCACACATGTTCATGTTGAATGGGTGTTTTTGTTGCAGTGACGGTGAGAAGCAGTCGTGATTTCATGGGATTTCTCCTTCAGGCTCGAAGAGTGTCTGATCATCAAATCGCTGGGACTTTTGTTTTCATTCCTCCTCATTCCAAACTGATGACTTGTTTTCAAGAGGCTGATGCAGTCACCCATTCTGACAAGTCCCTGAAGAGAAACCTGTCGTTCCTGTGGAAGGCCCCTGCCCAGCCTGTGGGGGATATTAAGTTCCTGTAAGAGAGTGAAGTGCTGTTTCTTAGAAACTGAGCCTTTAACTCTGAAGAGAGGGGAGTTTCTCTTTGCCCTGCCTTCATATTCCCTTTCCCCCTGCTTATGTGGCCACCTTATAGCAAGGACAGGATCGCGGATGCTGCCTAAACTGGAGAGCCTATGCAGAGGGGAACTAAAAAAATGTTGCCCCCAAACTCATCCCTTCAGCACTATCCATATTATCTCTCTGCCTCCCCAGGCACAGGTAAACCTTGGCCAACGTCTCCAGGAATTTCTGACCAGAGGACAGAAGGGCTGGCCGTGGGAAGGCAGGAGAGAGCCAAGAAAGAGATAGGCAGATGGACAAATGGACACGTCCCTGGGCCCAGGAAAAGCCTCTTGAGGCTCTATGCCTTGGCTTGTTGTCTATAAATGGGCATAACCACAGCACCTCCCTCAGAGGGTTGTGTATGGATGAGAGAGCCTATGTTTGCTCAGAACAGTTCCTGGCAACAGTAAGCACTTCAAAAGCATCATTACTACTCAGAACGAGGTGCTTGTTTTGTCATTCTTTTCAGACACTTGCATTTACCAAGAAAGAGAATTTTTTTCTTTCGGGAAAGGGTGTGTGTTTCTGTTTCTTTTCCCCACACCCTCCTAAATATGAAGGAGAGTGCGTCTGCAGGCAGAGGTCATCCAGGGCACGTGCTTACCTCCAGGACTCCCCTCTGCTCTGGGGAGCAGTGGGAGAGGAGGTTGGTGGCCCCAGCCTGTGGTGTCCCTTCTCCCCCACTTCCTGGTGGCACAGGGCAGCAGACAGGACAGTAAGAAGGGAAACACATGCCTTAGGATTTTTCCTCTTTGGAAGGCCCAGGGCCCGCTTACCCGTGGGTGTGCCCAGCTTCTGCCCTTGGCTTTGGTTCTTATGCAGTACAGAGGGTGTCTGACACTTGAAGTCCTTAAACCTGTACAGTCACCTTTTTTCCTCAAAGCACCTCCATTCCTATTTTTGGATTTACCATCATAGATGCTGCATGCCGCATAGCAAGTAGTGTAGAAGCTATGATCTCCATTTGACAGAACAAAACGAGCTAAGTCACTTGATGAGATGCCTGTCCTAAGTCGCCCTGTGATCTCCCACCTCTGGGAACCCTCGCGCATGATAACGTCCGCCAAGTCTGGAAACCGCATGTTGGGGGCCTGAACTATGACTCTCACTGAGTCTCGAGCCTCTGGGTGACCTCGGCCAAATTAATCGCCTTGTTATGACTGCCTCCTGAATACTTAAAGTGGGAAAAATGATGCTTGCCAATAATCCTTCCTTTACTGAAATATTTGGAAGAACAAATGGCATAATGTTTGTGAAACTGATTTTTTACTGAAGAATTATTTTTCAAAAAATTATTTAGAATATTAAGGATTTGTCTCTAATTTCCAATAGAATCTACAATGACAATAGACATGTACAATTATACAACAGAATTATGAGATCTTCAAATCATGATGTAATAACAGTATATCAGGAATGGCTAATAATAACATTGACAATAAAACCTTTTGTTGGAGTTTAAACAGTTTAAGGAGAAACTTTTTAGTTAAAATGAGATTTTTAGTGACTATTTATTCAAGAAGACCATTGATTTTTTCATATCCTCTCTCATTCTAATTATTTGCAACTGTGGGGTTTTTGTTTTTAAAAAGAATGAAGTCACTTTTCATTCTTGAAGTAATAACATAATCTCTCTCTCATTCTTCTATTTATTTAGTTTTGTTCCTGTTTATCTGTTAGTGTGTTCTCTCTTTTCTATGAGGCTGGCCTGAGTTATTATTTAAAGGAAACTAAATCCGTGAACTACTCTGCTCTTTCTCTTTCCACAGTTTATCAGTAGTCCAGTCATATTTCGTTTACTGGGCAAGGATTGAATCATCTGTTGTGTCCCAACAGACACATAGCAGCGCCCATTCTGATGACCGCATGGAGCCCAGATTACTGATGCCAACCCTTCACCAGAGGCTGGGTGATGTTGAAGGAGCTGCCCCAGGTACAGCTTGTCATTGTATTTGCCAGGCTGGTTGTCATCATTATTTTTACAGTTATCTATTTTCACTTAAAAGTTACTACTGCCAGTTTCCTGTCCCTGCAAAACAAGTAATAAACACCTGCCGTGGCCAACTGCAGCAGTTCCTGGGGATGTGATAACGCAGCAGTGAGAGGGAGGGAACGCTTGCAGTTGCTTTGTTTGTTGCAGCAAACACACTTTGTCTGGCTCAACCTAACACAGTAAGTCAGGCCCCCGGGTGGACAGTGAGAGCTGTGCTGCAATACCAAAAAACAGCATACACCTCTTCCCCCACATTTACTAGTCCTCACAATATTTCCACTGTTTTCCTTAGTCCCCTGAAGCTACACAGAGAGCACAAAAAGGAAATGAGCTTTTCTTCGTCTTTTCTCATAAAAACGCATCCAGTTTTCACTGTTAACTTTTCACAGTAGGTAGATGGCTCTTTGCAACCTGGGTTGGGGAACAGAATCAGGAATCACTGTTTCAATGGGAAGAGATTTTTCCTTGCTCACTACATGGCTTTATATTCCATTAGTCCATGAACTCCTGAAAAAAGAAAAGAAAAGAAACAAAACAAAGGAAAACCTCTAGCCAGCTAGAGGCTGTTTGACCTACCTGAAAATCCCTGGTGGCATGGAACTCCTTTTTATTGCTTATTTCTAGTTAAGTTCTATGAACGCAAGCACTCGTAAAAGCATCCAGGCACATGCACACAAGACTCTACCCTTAATCCATTCGTTCTCCTCTTCCTTTATTCTTTCCTTTGTTCTTTGCTAATATGTTAAGGCCAGAATCCAGTCAGAATCCCTGCCTCTTCTCAGTCGAGCAGACCCAGGTACAGAAACAGTGGGGACCACCCTCCATTCTCTGTCTTTGCCCCAAAACCTTTGTCTTCTCCCATTACCCAGCACAACTCCTCCAACCCTCCCACCAAGACACTCCCAAAAGCAGAGTAAAGATCTCAGAGCCTGAGAGTGTGGCCTGGAGAAGACCCTGCACCCCTGACATATGTTTGAAATCTCATGTTTTATTTTATGAATGATGCAAATGTCATGTTTTAATCCCAAGTATAACCACGTTTGTTTGGACATGAATATGAATAAAACTGAAGTTTCAGGAAGAAGTGTCATGTGGAGCCTTGGGCCTTTCTATGCCTGACTCTGCTGGAAACCTTGTCCGCTAGGGGCCACAGCTTCCAGCCCAAGCAGTTTACAGGGTAACCTCCTCATTACATTGCCCACATTCCTCTCCTTCTGGCCCCGGCCTGTCTTCCCCATTCATTCCAGTACCCAAACCCTAGTGATTCCCAAAGGAAAAAGAAACGTGTATGTATGCATGTGCATGCATGTGTGTATGTATGTGCGTGTGTGTGTGTGTGTGTATGTATCCTGGGAAGTTTATCTTTGTACAGTTAAGAAATCTATTCACCTTATTTCATCTAATAAAGTGAAATAGATTTCTTAACTGTACAAAGGATTCAGTAGGCAAGTATAAATTATAAATTTTCAAAATTGGGGAAGTAGTATATTGTATATCTGAAACTTATCTCCCAATAGACCAAGACACTTTGGGTCCTCCTCCACCCCATTAGGTATGGTCTACTTTTATATTTCAGTCCCTTCCCTTCTGACACTTCCTCAAACTGGACTGTTCCACATGACAGTTCTCTGCATCTTTCAAGGTACAGTTCAAATATCTCCTTAGTGAAACTTTTCCTGATATTTCCTGGTAGGCAAGTGCCTTAGTCTATTCCAGCTGCTATAACAAAACATCCTAGACTGAATAATTTATAAACAATAGAAACATATTGCCTACATTCTGGAGGTTGGGAAGTCCAAGATGAAGGCACCAACAGATTAAGTGTCTGGTGAGGGAGGGATGATCTGTGCCTCAACAATGGCACGTTCTTGCTGTGTCTTCACATGGTGGAAGGGGTGAACAAGCTCCCTCAGTCCCCTTTTATAAGGCCACTAATCCCATTCATGAGGGCTCCACCCTCATGACTTAAGTACCTGCTAAAAACCCCACCTCTTTACACTATTGCATTGGGAGTTTGATTTCAACATGTGAATTTTGAGGGGGACACATTAAGACCATAGTAGCAAGTATAATTGCTTCCTTAGCTCTGGTATTAATTGATTAATTAATTCATTAATTAATTTTGTGACACTGTCTCTCTCTGTTACCCAGGGTGGAGTACAGTGGTGCGGTCTCAGCTCACTGCAACCTCCACCTCCAGGGTTCAAATGATTCTCCTGCCTCAGCCTCCCAAGTAGCTTGGAATTACAGGCATGCGCCACTGCATCCTGCTAACTTTGGTATTTTTAGTAGAGAGACACAGTTTCCCCATGTTGACCAGGCTGGTCTTGAACTCCTGACCTTAGGTGATCTACTTGCCATGGCCTGCCAAAGTGCTGGGATTACAGGCTTGAGCGCCCGGCCTCTTGTATTAATTTAGGTAGTTTGACATGTAAGGGTGTCTCTTCCCAGTTTTGAGTTCAGGGACACCAGTTACAAGTCTGCATTATGTTTGCATCTCCAACAACTCTAACAATGCCCAGCACACAGTGGGTCTGCAGGAAATATCCAAATGCTCTTAGAGTTCAAGAAGGAATTTGAAACTATCAGTTTGCCATGTTTTGTATGTCTGGGCTAGGCTGCTTTGTTCTTCACTTCAACATTTGTGAGTGTTAAAAACATTGGAGCAAAGGGGTACCTCCTTCACCCCCATCAAAGAACCTGGAGCCCTTGCCAGAGAAACTTCTGCCAACACTGTTTTGGTCAATGCCATCATGCCATCCTCATCATCATTGTGGTAAACCCTCTGTGCATGTTGCCTGTGCCTGTGTGCCAGGCACCTGCTTCACGCTTCCCCATTAATGAGTTCGTGTCAACCCCTCAGCAATTCTATGCTGGCCTCATTTTGCAAATGAAGAAACTAATGCTCTGGGAGGACTTCCCCAAAGCCAGGAATTAGTGGAGGACTGAACCCAGATGAGAGTCTGACTCTACAACCTGCACTTGCTTGCTTGCTGCTCCGTCTAAAGCTCTTTCTCATGCTCTGGGCTGTCAGGTTAGCCAGTCACAAATGGGAAATGAGATGGTGGAGGGCAGTGGAGGGCAGTGATCTCGTCTCTGCTCATAGCAGATGTTCAAGTTATTATCACCAGGGAAAGAAACTTTGAGTGTTAATAATAGGGCAAGAAAGATCTAGGGCTTTGAAAAGTCTGATTTGTGGGATTCCACTCTTTTTTCTAGCTAGAAGCAGTTTTTGGTAGAGGTGAAATAAATACGGTGGTCACAGTGCGTTCTGCGTTCCCTGAATGGTGGCTGTTAAGAAGGTACAAGCCCAGACAGGCCAGGGACTCACTCTCTAAAAAGATATAAGCCCTTGCGTGGTCAGGGGCTTGTGTGATCAGGCAGGTCATCTGTATGCTGACACTTTTAAGTGCCTTACACTTAATGGTCTCTCCTTGAGGAACATTAGAGTCACTGCTGTTTACCCCCGATCATAGCTGTGTGTACCAATCGATACGGGGAAAGTGCTCTCACTCTCTCTGCACTGTCTTTGGGCCTCTGCTTAGCTCCCAGGGCCCCCATCACTCTTCCACAGAAGCACACACATGCCTTTGCTGTTGCCCTTCCTGGAGCTGCAGAGGAGGACAGCCTAGATCCTGTTCCTGCCAGTACTTGGGTGACAAAGTTTCCTGGGGATGCAGAGACTCTGTCCCAACCATCTTCACACACAGCCACTGAAGGCAGCATCGACCAGCAACTCAGCATGGACAGCCATCCGACTCTAGAGCCGTCCCTGGAGGTCCACAGGCTGGAGAGGCTCGTGGCCCTCAAGAAAGTCTCCTCAGAGAGCTTTGCTTCCAGACTTAGCATCCATCACAGGTAAGGGTGATGGGTGGGCCATTCAGGACAGGTGATGGGACTAGGCTGAACACTGGGGTGCATCATTTGGAGTCTGACAAAGAAGATCTCAGCCATATTTATTCTTAAGTGTGTGAAAAACCCAGGATGTAACAGGGCCACTGGTCTGAAGGACTGGGTATGATAATTACCCAGGGAAATTATTCTCTTGGATGGGGTGAGATCTCTGAGATGCTGTTATAAATAAAACTTTAAAAGTGACTTTTTATATTTTAAATATATTTATAATAACAATATAGAAATGTATATTTTATATAAAATAATAAGCGATAGCATTTGGTGAGTTCTTTGCCGCCATTCTCACTTATCTCTCCCCTTCTTCGTCTCTGTGGTTCCCAACTCCAAACTCAGAAGTTTTTCAAGTGGATCTGATGCCATCTGCATACACAACAATGGTAGGAAACATTGCTTTTTGGTCCAAAACTTAATGACCTGTTTTCAGCCCTTCCATTCTTCCCTTTAGATCTCAGGATGATCCCAGCTTTGATTCACTGGAAACTTGCCTGTCCTCAGTTGGGGGTGAACAGGTAAGAACCTAAACTGTGAAGAGGGCTTGCGACTGATGTTTTGATCCTAGACTGGCCAGTTTCAGGCTGGAAAATCAGAGCTACTAGAGTGATTGATAGATAAAGTCAGAGAGAAGAAGGCAAAGTATAATATACACACAGTGTCTTTCTACTAATCAATACCTTTCCATTATATGCAGTGTCTCTGAAGTGATCGGCAATTGTAGAAATTGATGTTTTAGTGATTTGTCTTCTCACGTAGCCATAGTTAATAATTACTCTCTTCTCTCCTCCTCCATCCCTCCTTCATAACATTGACCTCAAAGCACCATGTATGGTCCCAGAAGTTAGATCAATGGGCAATATAAAATATAAATGCCCACTGATTTGCTATTCCTTTGAAGTCTTAGAAGGAACACAAAATAAAACATGGTGTAATATTCTTACTTACATTTATCAGAACCTACAGTGAGGTTAAATGGTCCCTCTTGCATGGGTCCTATCATAAAAAGACACACTAGAAGCTTTCAGCCATAGAAGATGATGCAATCACCCATTGATATTTTGGTTTGGAAGCCTCTTAAAGGATCCTTAGCTTGTTCTTGTAACTGGCTTCCTTGTTCTCTGTGGGGTTTCCATTAGCCACCCCATCCCCATCAATAACAAGTGCATTTGTATCTAGTTGGGCATTTTACTTTGAGCTCCTTTAGTAGCAAGAAAGAGATTGGGTTTTCAGCTGCCGCCTGGGAGTCTTTAAGGAACCCCAGTTAGTTACAAAGTTCAGTGGCAGCTTAGGAGGAAGACCAGTACCTTTGACTCTTTTTTTCCTTTGTTTTTCTAGGACAAGATGAAGGCCTCTAACAGGACCATGACACAGCCTCCTCTGTACCCCGTCCAGCTTACCCATCCCCGGCGCCTCTGGTCCTCTGAAACTTTCACAGGGAATGGGGCAGGGGCAAGCAACCCAACCGCTGTCCTCCAGACCTCTGGTACTTCTGGGCTACCTGCTACTGGTGACCAGTCAGAGGCATCCAGGGCCTCTGCCAGCTTCTTACTTCAGTCAAAGCACGAGGAGCTCAGAGCAGGGAAGGGAGATGGAGAGGGTGGAGTGGGATACCCTCAGCAGACCAACCCACGGCCTGACGCTGGGCTAGAGGGGGCCCAGGCCCCTCTGGGGATCCAGCTCAGAACTCCCCAGCTGGGAGTTCTGCTTTGCCTGTCAGCCATCCTGGGCATGGCCCTGGCTGCTGGCCTTCGCTACCTGCACACCCAGTATTGCCACCAGCAGACAGAAGTGTCCTTCGGCGAGCCCGCTTCGGATGCTGTTGCCAGGAGCGACAGTGGCGAGACTGTGCACATCAGGAGGATTGGGGAGAACGGTTTTGTTTTGGTTCAAGCAGAGTACAACTGGATCACTCCTTCTGTGGGTAGCAAGAAAACAGTCCTCTGAGAAGACCATCACCCCAGACCTCTCAGTGGCCCTCCTTGGGCCCTGGAGAGTGTCCCAGACAGAGCAGACCTAATGAGAATACCTGATGAAGACAGGGACTCATTGTGCCTCTGTCAATGTGCAGTTCATGGAGGAAGCCGGGAGAGGACAGTTTCATCAACAGAGGGAGTTATTTCTGAGCTTTGTTGTCTTAACATCTGTAATTGAGCTTCCTTTTTTCTTTTTGCAATTAGACGTTCTGTTTGAAGACTTAAACTCAACACAATGAATATTGTATAACCCGCTCATTAACTAGACCCCTGTGGCCGCTAAGCTTCCTCTGTTGCCTTAAGGAAGCCATAGAAATAGAAATGCTGTCCCTCCTTAGTGTCTCAGCCTCATCTCTTCTAACTCTTTGGGGAAAAGAGTAATGTTAGGTTGTGTCTCCTGCAAGAAAAAGAACTGCAGCTCTCACTTTGCCTTCCTAAACCACCCCCAAATAAGTTTTCTTTTCAAAACTAGAATTCAACAACTTGCTAGAGTTCTGATTTGGATGGCTAGGTGAATGCAAGGGTGTTTGGTCTTCTGGGCAACTCAGCAGCCTGGCAAATCGCTGTGGAAATTGATCCAAAGTCAGGAAAGTTTTTGAGAGCTTGATTGAACACATCTTTAGGAAAACATATACATGCAACACAAGGCCATAAACACCAGAGTGGGGTAAGCAAGCCTTTTCATCAGGTGTAAATGGATCTGAGACCTCCCATCCATTTACACTTGATGGAAAGATTCGTGTATTCCAGCAGCTAGCAGACATATTGCCTTTTGCCAGAGGTCAGGCTGAAAAACGTTATTATACCAGCACAGTTTGAAGAACAGTCTTTACTTGTCTTTTCAGGGAATATCAGGCAGAAAGCTTCATGGACGAAGGTCATCTATCTGATCTCATAACCTTATGAAGATTGCTTTGATTTAACAGTGGCTCCACAGATACTATCTGAGGTCAAAACAACAGATCTGAATGTAACTCTTAAATATGCTCACCTAATATAGCACATTGGAATTAGCTGCCTTTTCAGAGTGAAACCTATTACAGAGTCACCATTCATTTTAATGCAGAAACAAAAATCACTACAAATTCGGAAAGGATATTTGTTTATTGAACACCTAATTCATACAGGAACTGTGCTAAGAAATTTGCATATATCTTCACATTTAACCCTCACAAAAATTTAATGAGGAATAAGTGCAGTAACTTTCCAAGGAGAATGAGGCTTTCCTTACATCTCAATTTGACAATTTTTAAAAATTGGGTGTTCAGGAAAGAGACAGCTCCTGCTTTTTCCATACCTCCCTTTAGCTCATTGGTCATCAATTTCAAGACTGTCTCCTCCTGGATTCTGGGCTAGATAGCTCTGTTCCCTGGCTTCAGTCATTAGATGCATGGAGACCTAGGTAATTTGTGCATTCACAAATGAAAGTGTTCTAGGAATGCTGTGGAAAGAAAGAAATGTACTGTACTCTAATAAGGCCACAGATATCCCTTCTGCATGCCTAGGGATGCCCTCTAAAAGATATCCTCCCCGAGAAGCAAACAAGGGACCCCATTAGCGGAGAGCTCTCATCTGGCCACATCACATCAGAGCCAGATGCATCATGTATGCAACATTTTTTAGATCTTTTCTGTCTAAGAGAGAATTTTCCTATGTAAACAGACTGTTTCGCTTATCTGTTGATGTGAACAGATTACTTTCAAGCTTAGTAGTTGAAAATAAAATCACCACCACCACCATTTATCATCTTTCACAATTCTGGGGTTGCCTGGGCTCAGCTGGTCAGTTCTTCTGCTTTTGATGTTATTGAATGGGATGGGACAGCCTAGTGGACTCCCTCACATGGCTTGCAGTTGGTGTTGGCTGCCAGCTAAGGGCCCAAATGGGGCTGCTGAAGAATGTGGGAAGCAATATGGTTCTGTTCTTTGTGTCTTCTTATGCCATATGGTGGCTGAGTTCCAAGAGGAAGTGTGCCAAGCACACAAAACCAAAGACTGCATGTCTCTTAAGACCTAACCTTGGAAGTGGTCATAGTGAGTCACAGGACCAACTCTCATTATTCAAAAGGAAGGGCAATAGATTTCACTTTTTGATGGGAGAAGTGACAGAGGATTTGCAACCATCTTTAATTCACTTTCCCTTCTTCTTAGACTGCTGACCTGCCATGGGGGGATTGTGTGAGACTTGAAGAGATGCCATTCATCCCTGGGAGATGAGGGAGGTGAGAGGAGTCTCCAGATTTCAGGATCAGGTATTTTCTCTTCTCCAGTTGGACTTCCAGCTTATACAAAACAGTAAAGTGATGCAGAAGGGTTAGCCAGATCTCTGAGCCTCCTCTTCCTCATCAGAGAAAAGAACATCACAAAATCATTCAGCTCTTTTGGTTGATGTAAAGATTGAATGCATACACAATATTTAGCTATCTGTAACCAAACTGACATGCCATTGTCATTAATGTTATCCTGAAGCTGCAACACTGTCTTTACGTGTAGTCCATTTAGAGAAATTCTGTGATCAGGAAAAAAAAAGTCACTTTGTTTCTATGACAAATTCTCCTCTTCTTCTTCCTTTTTTTTTTTTTTTTTTTTGAGATGGAGTCTTGCTCTGTCACCAGACTGGAGTCCAGTGGTGCGACCTCAGCTCACTGCAACCTCTGCCTCCTGTGTTCATGCGATTCTCTTGCCTCAGCCTCCTGAGTGTCTGGGACTACAGGCACACACCACCACATCCAGCTAATTTTTGTATTTTTAGTACAGACAGGGTTTCACCATGTTGACGAAGATGGTCTTTATCTCTTGACCTTGTTATCCATCCACCTCGGCCTCCCAAAGTGCTGGGATTACAGGCGTGAGCCACTGCGCCCGGCTGACAACTTCTCTTGAAGCATCCTTCCCACCTCACTTCCCTGGCTCAGCCACTTGAAGTCCACATGAGTTGTCATGGCAGTCATTGGCTACAATTCCTACCATGTATCAGATATTTTTTTGCTGCAACATTCTGACTAGACTCTTCTTTGGCCAGGGCAGCTGGAGTCCATAGGCCTATACTCAAACTACATAAGTGATCGTGAAGGTCCTCTAAGCTTCACAGAAGCCCCAGAGGGGAATGAGTAGGAAGTGTTAGCTTAACCTGAAGGCTCTTACTAAAGTGCAAAGCCATTAAAAGTTAAAAAAAAAAAAAAAAAAGGAGAAAGGACTCAAATACAACATCTTAAAATAGCTTTTTCATTTTGTTGAAACAGCTACAAAATTGCTCATCCAACCTCTTCTTGGAGGAAAGACGGTATGGGGCTAAACACACATTTGAGGGAAAATGATGGATAAATAATTGCTGAAAACTCTTTATATTTTAAACAAATGCTTTTGTATCTATTGTGCTAATTTAATAACTATACACCATGGGTAGGGTAGCCTTAATCTGTTTACATTCAGAGACCATTTCTGATATTTCCAATTAATTTTTTCCCAAAGATACAATTTTGGTAAAGTACAACTTAATATTTGACTGTAGGTTGTCTTGCTGTCCCACTGTTGAGGCTCTCTGCATTAATTTGCTGTTAACACTGTTTGTTTTCCTTAAAAAAAAAAAAAAATTCTAATTAGCAAAAAAAAAAAAAAAAAGTCAGCAAACCAGTAAATATTTAGACATGTGTCACATTTTATTTGCAAGTCATCTGGGAAGGGCTGGCAATTTATGAATAAATTTCAGGTGATGGCTATGTCCTCTCCCTGTCTCAGACTTCCGATATTAATCAGTGATCCTAGCCTTTCTGGGACACAGACTGTGTGTTCTGATTTCATTTCACTCCAGCCTGTCCCTCTTCTAAAAGTGGCAAGAAACTTCTTTTATTCAAGTGAAGTTAATTTGCATTAATTTGTTTTATTAAACTTGAGAACTTCTGCAGACTTACAGTATTCTGAGCGCTCGGTTCCATCTGCCCTGGCGTGGTGCAAAACCGGGGGTGGTCATCTCTCGATCCTGGTTTATCATATCAGGATGGCATTTGTGATAAAAGGAAGACTAGCGTTTTGTTTGTTTGTTTGTTTTGCTCTTTAAATGCAAAAAGAAAATGGGAGCGTTTTGAGACTCCTGTTCTACCCATGACGATTGAGGCCACAAGGACAACTATAGGCTGTCAGATGTTTTCCGGAGATTTTTTGCTTTCAAAACATAAATCAGTTCATGTCGCTGTCTCTGAATTCCCTAATGGTTTTCCATCTCTCTCAGAATAAAATATGGACATCTGATTGGGCTGACTGTGTTCTGCGAGAGCTGGCCCTCTGACATTGCCCTCTTCCTGCGTGTTCACTGTGCTGCTCTGAGCCCTCCAGGAAGCTCTGTGCAGCTCCCTTGCTCTCCTGTTGTCTGGAACGCTGTTCCCCCAGGCATCCAGCCTTCAGAACTTGCTTCCAGTGCTGCCTCAGCAGAGGGCCTTCTCCTGACCATTGCAACCTCTAATCAACCTAGGCTTCTACACTGTTTAATAATATTGATAGCACTTATAACCACTTGAGTCATATATTTATCTTCCCCAGACACAGATCCTTCATAAAGACAAGGACTTTGTTTTGTTCACTGCTGTATTCCTAGTACATAACTTGGAGTCCACTATTCCTAGGACATAGTAAGTAATCAGTAGGTATGTGTTACATTTGTAAGTGAAAAGTTCAATACCCGTGTTACTATCACCAGCTCTTAGTGTAGATTAAAGTTGAATATATGGCACCTTGAGTAGCTCCAGAGCACATGGGAATCAGGCAATGTAAGTTTCCCTCCTAGAGGTGAGTTTAAAAGAGTCTATGGGTGACTGTCCTCAGTGCAGGAAATGCTCTTATGTCTCAGATCCGAGGCTCCCGGGAGTTGTTGGCAGGGAAGAACCAAGAATAGACTTCCCTCTCGATCTGTGCTGGGGCAGACGGAAGGCTGAGCGGAGTCTTTCCAACTCAGAAGCTCCCTATAGGCAGCTTTTCTTCAGGTCACATCATCTGTCACAGGGTTTCTCAACCTCCATGCTGTCACCATCTGGGACTGGATATTGCTTATTTTGGGGGACTGTCCTGTGCATTGTAGGATGTTTAGTAGCATCCCTGGCCTCTACTCAATGCCAGTAGCTCCCTCCTCCCCAGTTGTAAAACCAAAAATGTCTCCAGACATGGACAAATGTCCCCTGGAGGGCAAAATTACCCCTGTTGGGGAACCATTGGTCTAGAACATAAGGCATGTGACTGTAGGCCCCAAGCTGAAGTGGCATTTCCCACATGATTTCCACACCCAGGGATGAAGTGGGCAGTACTGAGATGGAGAACTATAGGGTTTACAAATTGGAGTGCCTTTACAGGTCTTCTGACTCAGTGGTTTTTAAAAACCAAGTCAGTAAACCAATAAAAGATAAATGCTCTAGGGAGGTTTGGGGATATCTTCCCCTCCTGTTTCCTTCTTCCAGCCTCCCTTTTGCCCATTGCCTCAGAAACTCAGGGCTCCAACAAACAGGGATTGAAAACCATGAACAACGCCTTCTTCAGATGAGGAGAACAAGGCCACGGAGAGGTCAGTCCAACAACAAGTAAGTCTAGGGGAGTCCTCAGATTCCTCCGACCCACCCTGACTTCCAAATCTGCTTTTCCTTCCACCATACTTGGCAGCTCATTTATTCTCTTGGATCATGTTAGGTATTGTAAATATTTCAACAGATCCAGAGAGAGCCAAGAATCAAGCAGAAAAATGGCCTGGAATGATTACTTTACAGCCGCCCTGGGAATGAGGAGGATGATAGGACACTGGGGACTGGTCAGTCATGGTGAGTGAGGCCTGGGCATGACCTGCCAGGCTGTGACAGGGCCCCAGAAGTGGGCCAAAGGGAGGAGGGACAGCAAGGGAGGGAGGGGCAGTCATTATCCCAGGTAGGAGCCCACCATGGCAAGGAGATGTTTCTCATTGGTTTACAGCCACCATGTTGAACTCATTGCCTTCCTTGCTGTGGGCTCTGCATTTTCCTTCCTTCAAATGGCATCTTGGGAGCATCTTCCCCCCTCACCTGATGATAGATGGCTTCTGCAAAGTGTTTTGTTGCTTTATATAGGAAAGAGGGTGCCTGGAAGTACATTCCATTGGATATTAAAGACTGTATTTCCCTGATTTATTGTCAAGCTATGCAGGATTGTCTGAGAGGCAAGGAACCAATGGGGATATCCATTTTGACTAATGATTAATTATTATATCGAAAGTGATATTTTCCTATCAACCGATAGGCAGGAAAAGTAGACTAGAGCTTGCTAGGTTACCACCATGGGTCACAGATGTTGCCTCTGCATTTTCATATTATATTATCCATTACAGGCGGCACCTTCTCATTTAAAAACATAATTTGTTGTTCTCCCAGACGAAAAAAAAAAGCTGACATTTCACATGTAAGCCAAAGATTAGAGTCACTGCACAGGGCCGCATATGGAAGTACATTAGGATGTGGTGTCCCTGAATCAAGGACACCAGGCAGCCAGTGCTGGGAGAGATGTAGAAGGCAGTGACTTCTGATCTTTATTATGCAAATGTGCGGTCCCCGAGCCAGGCTGTTTAACCTCATCAGGGAAATGTCGCTGATCATTTCAAGCTCCAAATGTAGCACAAGCATTAGTACTAGTATGTTATTATTGTTATTATTATGATATGGCGGGCATATGGAAGCCCAAGTCCTCTGATTTAAGCTCAGTCCCTACTTGCTCAGACCCTCTGGGATTGGACATAAACTCCTCTTGATATTAAACAAACAAATGTTTTTTTCTTTCTCTTTTTAATGCTTGTTGGTGAAACACTTTGCAGGCCTGGTTGTCTGCCAAACATGGGTGAGGATAGTGAGAGCTTCATGAAATGCAATCTCTACCCCAGAGGCTTAGTGACAGGGTGCCTTCTCTCTCCTCCAGGACTCCATGCCCCAGTGGCAGACGCATCTAGAGAAAGCATAAAGAATGGAGTAGAGGCAGGAGAAAGGATGGATCGGGGAGTGGAAATGGTAAGGAGGATTGAAAAGAGAGATGCTGCGTGGGCTTAGAAGGGGAAAGTTCCCTTATTCCCACTTGTGGATCATTGCTCTCTCAGAGCCACAAAGGAAACCGAGGAGCTGCCGAACAGGCAACAGAGAAGAAATTAAACGAGAAGGGGAAAGTCAAAGACAGCTGCGTGGCCAAGGGTGGTTGAAAGCAAAGGCTGAGCATCTTTGAAATCCAGATCGCTAGACCTCAGTTGGCAAGGTCCAACTTTTAGAAGAAATTAAGTAAATAAAAGGGAAACATTAAGCTGTAGTGACATTCTAGAGGAAACAAAAAGCAAGCAGTTCACATCCCCTTTTCCTCCATCAGCCTGGAACTAGGGGAAAGGTCCGGCTCTAATAAGTTACCCAGGAGGGTCATTGCACAACTGGAAAGACTAGAAGCTTCTCCAGAGACCCTCAGAGTCCTTCTCATCTAGCCCCAAGTCCTCTTCATATAAACACTGATATTGCGATTCCAGTCCAAGTGAATCAGTTTTTGTGAGTGGAATCCACATCCCTATTTTTTAAGGCTTTCCAGGAGATTCGAAAGTGCAGCCAGGGCTGAGGCTGCAGCTCTGGATGCTGATGAACAGAAACTCCACAAGGGCTGGAATTCTTGAATGTTTATTTTCTGCTGCATACCCCAGCATCTAGCACAGAATCTGGCTCGTAGGAGAAATGGAATATAGATTTACTAAATGAAAGGGCAATGGGGGAAACAAGGCATTTCTGTAACAGATAAAAGTATGAACACTTTGGGAGGCCGAGGTGGGTAGATCACCTGAGGTCAGGAGTTCAAGACCACCCTGACCAATAAAGTGAAACCCCGTCTCTACTAAAAATATAAAAATTAGCCGGACATGGTGGCAGGCGCCTGTAGTCCCAGCTACTCAGGAGGCTGAGGCAGGAGAATTGCTTGAACCCGGGAGGCGGAGGTTGCAGTGAGCCGAGATTGTGCCACTGCACTCCAGCCTGGGTGACAGAGCAAGATTCTGTCTCAAAAAACAAACAAACAAAAACCAAAAACCAAAAAGAAGTCTGTATATAATTAGGCCATTCAAGGCATCTGTGGAGGGGGTCACCTCCCAGAGCCCTGCTGCCGGTCACTTTTGTCCCTCATTGTTCTGGCAGTGGTAGACACACACCTCGTTCCCAGCTCTTCCTGGGTGTAAAGGGGAAATTGTATCTGTGGAACCAGCAATTGTCTATAGAGAGTGGCCTCAGGGGGGCAGAATGACTCCCCTTCCATGGGCAGGGCTTCCTGAAGGCCTCTTTGTGTCCTGGAGGAAACCCCTTTGTCCTGTCTCCATCCTTCTCTGGCACTGGTCAACACTGACTTGGAGAGGTTGAACATCAAGAAATGAAACCATCAAAAGGGAGGGCTTAGGCTGAAAGGACAAAACTAAACACATGCTAAGCTGGAGACTCAACTGGATCCTGAATGAATTGGGATCACTCAGGGAAATGTTGATTGAGCACACACCAAGGGACCAGATTTGCATTGGAGGTTGAGGAGACAAAGGGAAGTAAGGCTGGGACTCTGCCTCTAAAGAGTGGGCCAGTGGCAGGGTGGCAAAATCATCCGATGTCAAGGCTGGCCCTAGAATTGACACTAAGCCAAATGTTAGTCCAGCCTCCCACCTCCACCCATCTCTTTCCTCTCTTCCAAGCATCAGAAGTCCTGTATCCAAAAAGGATCTGCTCTTAGTGGAAGCCCAAGATGTAAATCCAACCAAAGCACAGTTACTCTGCATAGGGGGAAAGTCCTGTCCTCTCACCTGTTCTTTACCTGTCCCTCCATTCTCCCCCCTCAAAAATGCTTTCCTTAAGTCTTTGGAGGCTGAGAACTCAGGTTGCATGCCTTTGCTCTGAATAACCTGGTATTTCTAGATTCAGGTTGTTTAGCTGACACTAAATCAACAATGCTAGCACCAAGGAGGATCTAATTTTCCTCCTCTGGCTTCCTGAGATAGACGGTGTGACAGTATGGCTTTCAAAGGAGACGAGGCTTAAGTCACCAGTTTTTACTATCTGCACGGAGCCAGCTGTGGGTTGTTGTCCTTCTCCACCAGTGGCTGAGAAACAGTCAAGGCCCTTTCTGGTGGCTTCTCTTCCTCCTTGCTCCTGCTCGGAGTCCGGTCAGTGATGAGTTTTATGAAAATGAAGGATGTCCTTCTCCCAGAGTCAGGAGCCCTGTCCCTTTAGCTGATGGATGACAGATGTCACATGAAGGAAAGCTGAAGAGGAACCCTGGGCGTGGACTTAGGTCACTGAGTTAGTTTGATGGAGATCTCAGTATCTCATCAGGACATAGGCTGAGAGCGGCTGACATCAGCTGCCTTTCTTCTGTACCACTCAGTGTTGAGAGCTAGTAAAACAATATATTTGACTGGAGCTGTAGCCAGTCTGCCACCTCAGTCCCTACTCTGTACTCTAGCAAGAGCGCTTCAGCCAGATGCTGAGAGACCAGTGGAGCAGTGTGCTGTTAACTCACGTGAGACAGCGCTGTGTGTCTGCATAAAACCTTGAGCTAAGAGAGATGTTGGGATTTCACTGAGTGTGTCTCCCTGTTTCTAGTGAGCACCATGGCATAGGAAAAGAAAATATATGGGAGTAGGACAGGCCTTAATTCAAATCTTGACAGTGCTCCTGATGAACTCAACAACTTTTTTCTCTTCTTTTTTTTTTTTTTTTCAAGATGGAGTCTTGCTCTGTGGCCCAGGCTGGAGTGCAGTGCTGTGATCTCCGTTCACTGCAACCTCTGCCTCCCAGGCTCAAACAATTCTCCAGTCTCTCTTCTGAACACAAGCCACTAACAGCCAGCTAATTTTTGCATTTTTTGTAGAGACGGGGTTTCATCATGTTGCCCAGGCTGGTCTCGAACTCCTGAGCTCAAAGCGACCCATCTGCCTCGGCCTCCCAAAGTGCTGGGATTACAGGCATGAGCCACCCAGCAGATTCAACAAGTTTTGGCAAGTACTTTCGTATCCTTTACACTCATTTTTCACATCTGTAAAATGGGGATGACATTATTTACTTGGCAGATTTGTGGTGAGTAGTAGATCTTAGAAACTCAGCTGTTTGAAATCCTGTGAAATTATTATTTCTATTGGGCTCTGAAGTCTTTGAAAGGACAGATGGTATTTTCTTTATCTTTGTATACTTAACCTTTAATATAGTAAATATCTGGCACGTAGTAGCTACTTAAATGTAACTTTTCAGAAAACTCTTCCCCAATACTTCATCTAAATAAGTATCCCCTTGTTATTCATTATATTATTTTCCTTTATAGTCCCTGAAATGATATAGTATTTGTATATTGTCTACTTTTTCACTAGACTGTAATTTCCATAAGATTAGTAATCTTGTCTGTCTGGGTGGCCAGAGTCTAGAGCAATGCCTGCTAAGAGCAGGTGCTCAAAATGTATTTGTGGAATGGAAACATAAATGAATGGTAGTTGCTTAATTATTACTAGTAGTGGCAGTGGTTTACACGGTATCAGAACCAACACAAAGGGACGCCTTTAGTCATCTTTGCAAAGCTCACCAGAAAGGATGACAATGATCAGAAACCTTTCAAGTTTCCTCCTCACAGAATTCTGCCTGGGAACCTTTATTAAGGATGGCCGATTTCACCAGGCCTCCACCAGGAGGCCCTTTATGCTAAACTGAGCAGAGTGAATGTTTTATGACGTGGACAAGGGCTGCCTCAGAGCCTGAACTGGGGCCATCTGGGGGGAGTGGGGTGGGGCCACACCCTCTCCCTGGGCTCTGCACCACTGAAAGGCTCCAGACGGCTCGGGCCCTGGGCCAAGCTGCTTGGTTCCAGTGGGAAAGCTGACCTTGGCCAGGAAGAACCAGGAAGAGGCACAAATGACTCATTGTCCCACATCCTCCAAGGTAAAAACCCAGCAGTGTGTGTGGCCTTTAGGGCTGGATGTTATTGCAGCCTTGGCTCCTTCCTCAGCCAAAATAAAAGCACTCGGCCAGTAACACTTGCACAGCCTAGGATACAACCAACGGCTCTCTTCCGTTGTTCTATTCAACACACTTCCCTGCACTTAAAGTTTTAAAACATCGTGCACATAACATTATGATTTCAGTTCTAAATGTAAACCATAATTTCTTTTTAAAGACGTACGGCAGCCTTCATTTCCAGTCAAGGCATGTGCCATTTTAGGGTCCCGGGGAAGAAATACGATATGCTTTCAGGTCACGTGTGAAGGAGGTCTCACCGGAAAGTGCTTAGTTTATTCAGAAGTTTGGAATCTAAAGCGCTGATTTGTAAGATGTGCTGCTGCCTCCAGATTTCCACTAGAGGGCAGTCTTGGAAAATGTTTATAGATACATATTTTATTGCTATGTCTAGGAAATGTGTCTTGCTTTTAAAAGGAACAAACAAACAAAAAACCCATGTAAAATTTAGGGCAAGCTCTTTGGCTCCACTTGGAATGATTCCTCATTCTTCCAGAAGGAAGCCGGGGAGCATGAAGGCAGCTGCTTCCCTCGTCTCCATCCCTTTGTCCACATGGGATGCAGCTGGCTGCCCAAGCTGTGAAGCTGGCCTTGGCGCCCAGATCCCTGTCTTCCCACACCCGCCTCGGGCCAGCCCTAGTGGGCAAGGAGAGGCACCTTGGAAGGGAATGCGGGGTCCTGATTTAGGGGCCCCTGGTTTAAATTCGGCCTTGGCTGAGATCCTCTCCGTGGAGTCCCATCTTCTGCCCTTCCCTCACAAGCTAGCAGTGGCCGGAAATTCTCAGAAAAGAGCCAGGAAGGGTCAGAGGGTGACTGGGGAGTACACAATTAAAAATAGGCCTTCCAGGCAGGCAGCCATGGAGATCTCACTCGATATGTAAATAAGTGTAAATAAGACAGGCCAAGTCTTGGCGCTGGAAGGACACGGCACATTTTGTGCAGCCAGGGTTGTCTGGGGCAATGGTAAGCACTCCCCCCGCCTTCTTTTTTTTTTTTTTTTCTTCTTCTTCTTTTTTTTTTTTTTTTCCACACAGCCCAATTTAAGGAAAAATTATAATATATATAATATATAATATTTTTTCACCCAAGAAGAAAATAGCTTTACTGGGCTCCATTGGTGGTGGTGGGAAGGACAGATCATTCCTACAACTTGAATTTATTACTTGATGAATAGAAGAATGTCAACAGAGAAATTAGAGCTGCTTTATAGCCACAACAACCTTATTTCTGGAGCATATTTGATACACAGCACTCAACTTTCCCATCTCTGACATTTGTGTCATCCTTTAGAGTCTGTATCACTGAGTCATGCGAGTGACCTCATTTCATCCTGGACACAGCCCTGTGTGGGTGTCATCATCATCAGCCCCATTGTAGAGAAGGACACCAAGCCCAGGGAGGAGGAGAGATTTCAACAGGGTCCCACAGCACTGGCGGTGGGGCTGGGGCCAGAATCAGTTCACCTCTCCCACATCATGTTTTACTGGGCATCTGCTGTGCACTGGACTCGGGGCTCGGTGTGAACAGGATGCTGCCTCTTGCCTTTCCTCGGAAACAGGCTCTGTGAATGTCAAGGCAAGCCCCTTGACTTCCCTTGGAACTACTCATTCTTCCAGAAGCTCAGCTAGAGGAGGAAGCTGGAGAGCGCAAAGGCAGCTGCCACCTCTTGCACGCGTGGGCGTCTCGGAGTAGCAGGGGCTGCTCTGTGCGAGGGGCTGGGCGAGCAGGGGTGCACTCCCCTGGGAGCAGCAGGGCCTTCCAGACGGCCATGGCGGTCTGGCCATGGCGGTCTCGGGCGCTCCGACCTCAGCCTGCATCTCCGCCCCGCCCCTCTTGGGGGGCATCCCTTCTGTGCACGCCCACGTGTGAGCAGAGAAGCAACTCTCAGAAACCTTCTGTGTGTTCAGGAAATGTGCGCGGGCGGCTTGTTCCCTTTTGCTCTGTCTGGGGTGAGCCTAGAGGTTGCATCTCAAAGTAGACTGAGGGTTCTTTGGGAGAAGTCAGGTGTGCCCGGGGGAGCCCTGAAGAGTTCCTCTGTGATCTCAAGGCAAAGGCAGCAGAGAACATGGAACAGGCAAACAGTAGGGGGGCCACAAGGTGTGTCCTGCAGACCGCCCCTCTTACTGGACTCCATTCTGGGTTTTTCTCAATGAGCGCGGAGCTGCTCCTGCTCAACCTGTTGGCGGAAGTGGCGCCATATGCTGGACTAGTGACTGCGCATGCGGATGCAGAGCCTCGCCCATGACGCTCAGTGCGCGGGCAATCTGTATTCAAAATGTCTGGTGGATGTGAACAGCAGCAGGTACAATAGGGGTTGTCTCTCTTTAATAATACCAGTGTGTCGGCCAGAGGGTAGGAACAGAAAAGATGCATCAGGGGAGTTTGTGGACTTCTTTTGCAAGATTGCTTCAGAAAACTCTGAGGAGGGCAGTAAGAAATTGGGGAGGGGAGACAGGCAGGAGCAGAGGCCCTGGCCCTGTTGCCAGTGCTCCTGGGAGCGCTTCTGTGCGGCCCCTGTGCTTGGGTTTCTTCTCCCCAATTCATCTATATAGGGTGTGGGATGGAGCTCAGGTCGGGGGACCACTCGCTGCATCCTAACCAGCCCAGTGTAGGGGGCAGAGAGAGGAGGAGAAAATGGGTATCCCTGAGACAGAAACATGACAGTGAGCTCCCTGGCTCTTCACTCCTAGGAATTGCTTAGAAGTTTCCACCACACACCTCGGCCAGGTTCCCACAAGAGCTGTGGGAACCACCACTCCACCCTCAGGGCCTGTCCACTGTTCTGCCCGCTGCACTCAGCAGAGGGGAAGATGCAGGCGGTCCCGTGCTGATCAAAGGAATCTCTGGACTGCAAACTCCCTGGGGACGGACCCAAACTGATGAGTGGGCTTGTCTGTCTAGACCCAGAGACCCTCGGGAGGACTGAGTGTTTCTGGAATGATCCAGGATGGGGCGTTCTGTAGCAATTCCCCCGAGGAATTACACAGGACACCTCTGATGATGAAATCCTCCAAGGGCCAAGAATGAAATTGCAGAGGGCTGTCAGGTTTCACGGCCCCGGAGAAGGAGAGGGAGTTCGGAAATGTGGAGCTGAATAAAACTATGCTCTGGATTTGCTAGAACAACCCAGAGGTGGCTGAGTTCCTCCCACTAGGGGGTTATGGTAAGAAAAAAATGTACTGTGTATTTGGAGGATACTTTTCTGAGGATGTGGGAAGGCATGTCTGTGCACAGGAAGGGAAGAAGGGTCTTTTCAAACTTGCAGTGCCTTCAGATTGGTGGCTTAGATGGTTCTAGGAGGGAGGAAGAGAGAGGTCTCTAATGTGTCTCATTCGAAGAGTTGTTTGGTGAAGGCCACTCTGCCCTGCCCCGCTTACCCTGTTCAGTAGCCTGAGCCTTCTGTGTGGACATAGCCCCAGCTCAGCCGTGCCCAGTTGAGGTTTCTCTGGGCTGTAAAGGAGTGAGCTCATTCAAGGCGTCACTGTGGAGTCTGAGATGAGTAGCATGACAGGACACTCCAGGACCAGGCAGGCGACTGTTGGCATGAGCAGGCTGGCCCTCCCCACATGAGTGCTCTCGGGCAGAGCACTAGGGGATCAGCCGTCCAGAGCCAAGCTGTCTTTACCTTGCCATATCAGCAAATATCAGCAAAGGGCCATATCACTGTGGCCCTTCTGGGAGGGAGGTTGTTTATTGAGGAATCAGATCCATGTGTGAACTCCCACTCCCTACAGTCTGCAAGTCCAACCCTGTGCCTTTGGGCATCTCTAGGAAGGACTGAGTTACTGTGGGGTACTGGGTGGAAGGACTGGAGAGGTGAGGTGGACTCTGTCCCGAAGGTTCCTCTGGAAATTAGTTTCCTTTATTATTACAGTGTTGAAAATTTTGAGGCACTTAAGCGATTGAACCCAATTTAGGGCCAAGGATAAAAATGTTCGCTGTAGATATTTTTCTGTTGTGATTTTGGCTGACCTTATTTCCGTGCTGCAGAATGAGATTTTCTCAGTTGTTCCATTACCTCAAACTGCTTGTTAAACAATGTCTTCGGAGAGGGGGGGAACCCAAAAACTGGCTGATTAATAAAGTGCTCATGAAAGGGGTGAGACAAGGGAGCTGTCAGACCCACACACAGAGATGCCAAAATGTGGACTCGGCCTGACCTCGGAGACCTGCCTTGACACTGTGTGACTTTTGTACGACTTCTCTGTCTCCACAGAGTCGAGATCTGCTTAGTGCCAAGTGTGATGTGGACAATTGCCTGCTGGATGGAGACAGAAACTCATTTCCCATCTGTCAAGCAGCCTGACACAGAGTTGGTAATGATTTTCTGTCAGGCGAGGCCTGGCTGGATTTGAACCCATGACCCAGAGGTAACAGGGCCTGATGTAGGGCTTCCTTTACAATAACCGGCTGCCTGTGCCTTGTTACTCCCAGCCCAGGACTCTCTCTCACATCTGCCCATGCTTTCTCCTCATGCAGCTGAAGTTTGGTTAGATCCTGACTTAGCACTGGGGCTAAGTGATTGATGTCCCTGGGCAAGCAGAAGATGCATTAGTGTCTTAGGGAATGGGAAATGAAAGGTGGAAGAAAAACGGGATGGTAGGGCTGCGGTGTGATTAGCATGAGGCCAAAAGCCGTGTGCTCCTGTGAAGCCAAGGTCTGACCCTCTCAGGATCTTTGCAGCCTGTCGGCCAGCCAGACGGCTCCCATGCAAAAGCCACCAGATGTGTGGGTCTGGTCTAGATTACTGAGTCTAGATTCTCTGGGTGTCAACTATTCTGGTGCTGAAATTGTCATTATTCATACCGATTGTTTTCATGAAAAAAGAGTCCCTTTCAGGAGCATCCATAGATGATTAACATGATGATCCCCCACTCACTGAATGATAATTAAGAGTCACACACCCCTCTCCGAAAATAGTGCTTCACAGGTGGAAAGTATCTGTCCTCCAGAATCAGAAAAGCAAACTGGAGGGCCTTAAAGGTTAACTCATTATTAAACATTTATTGAAGTTTCTCCTAGCAGACAAGTGTTCTATCAGGGTTATAGACATAAACAAAATAACGTTCCCGTTGAAGAAATTAATCATTTGGAGGGGAAGAGACATGTTGACAAAGAAAACCTGGCACAACCTGATAAGTCATATCAACAGTAAGTGAAGAAATTCAGTAGCCAGTTGAAAATGAAGGCCTATGTCTCACGATGGTGGGAAGCGCAGAGGGAGCCTGGGAATTAGAGCAGAGGTAAAGTGAAGGGAAGCACAGGTGTTGGCCACATCAGAGACCCAGCTGGAATCTAGGCTTTCCCACTTATAAGCTGTGGAACTTGGAACCTAGTCTCATGGGCCCTCCACATTCTAATCTGTAAAATGAGAATAATTACACCAATGTCAAAAATTGTTGTAAGGATTAAATGGGTAAAGTATTTATCAGAGTGTCTGGCACCTCGTAGGTGATTGATAACTGTCAGCAAAGGGCTTTATGAATTGGACAGGGGCAACACTGGAGGAAAAAAGAATAGCTGGGAAAGGTATTTTTAAGACAGTGGTAGTGGGAAGCAGAAGAGGGTAGAGGTAAAAAGGGGTTTTGCAGATGGAATCAATAGAATTTGGTGACTAACTGGATATAAAAAGTGAAGGTTGAGGGGGAGGAGAGCCATGTGGTTGCTATGCCTACAGAGGAAGCTAGTGGAGAAGATGGAACATAGGGAAAGAAAGAGGTTATTGAATTTTCACTCAGGATATGTGGGGTTAGAGGTGCCTGAAGATACCAAGTGCAATTAAAAATATGAGCTCAGGGCAACAGATTCGGGAGGTCTTGCTGGTTTACAGAAAGTGGCTGACATGCAAATGGCTCAGATGTTCCCACTGGGAGAACACAGGGTATGGGAAGAAGGATCTGAGAGCCGATTTTCCAGAAATGGTAACACTAAAAGGGTTAGCAGAAAAGGGGGCCTTGAAGGGTACAGCCAGCCATTCCTGGGTTATGGTGGCAACTGATGGAGTGGAAAGGTGACAGTTCATCCTGGACACAATTAGAGAAGAAGGTGCAGCCCTCTGGGAGGGCCGTGACCACCAAGCAACTGCCCTAGGGGCAGCCCCGGAGTTGGAGCTCCTCTCTGACAGGTGTTAGGCAATTGGAGTCAATGAGGGTAGCTCTGTCTGTCAGCCGCATTACCAGATAGTTCTCAGCTGGCATTTGGAGGAGTTGGGCAAAATCTCTACTTGGAGTTCTTTAGAGTAGGCGGAAAAAGGCAAGCAACAACAGTGGGCCTGGAGGACTTTCCATATGCACTTACCCCTTTGTGTTCTTGGGGAGGCCTGCTGGAAGCCAGGGAGGCCTGTTGCTGCAGCCATCTTAAAATCCGGAATCCAGTGTCTTCATTAACTAATGAAGTGAACAGTCACACCTTGGTCACTTCCCGACTTGATTAGTAATATTTAATGGGCACCATCATCGATCTTTTGCATAGATTAGAAGTCATGCAGAATAGAGCCTGACATCTGCCAACACAGTTCTGACTCCACACACCCAATATGGTTGCCCATTCATTGTTGAATAGCAATCATAGCTGACACTTATTGAGTTCTTGCCAGGCACGGTAACAAGTTGTTTGCTGGAATTACCTCATTCGACCATAATAACAATCCTATAATGTTACATAATTCTCAGATTGGCTTCATAAGCAGATAAGTGAACTCTATAAGTGACAGTTGGCTCCTTCTTAGGCATGCACAGGACTTCGCAGGCGTGGACATAGATTAGCTGCTAAGAGGGAGGGGGATTGTCAGAATGCACCACACATGAGGTAATAATAGCAGTGGGGCCCAGAGTTGGAAGTCTTGGTAAACATTTATTTGTGGAAAAGAAACTGAGAAAGTTCTAGCCATGTTGGCAAAACCAGCCCGGGTGACCACGCTGACAGCAGTGCTCTGTGAGCACACAGAATCAGAGTCCAGAACTTCCAGCAGTGAGCACAAGTCAACAAGGTTGCAAAAATTTCAAGTTTGGAATAGCAGATAACAAGGAAATGATCCATTTCTAGGGTGGAGGGCAGGGTCCATTTCCTCATCACCTTGTCTTCTACTACCAGTGAACCATGAGACCTGGTATGTATGTCAGCAACCCAAGGCTTTTTCCTTCCAGCTGTCTGGAATTGCTGAGTTGTAGGGCTTTTGACTCACTCCACATGAAGAGAGAACATCCTGTATTAAAACTTTCATTGCAGAGCTCAAGGAGTTCAGAATCATTGAGACTTTCCAGAATTTTAGCACATGAGAAAATAAGATCTTCCAAGAACTGTGAGGTTTTCGGGCTGTCATGGAGTCTACTTAGTGATTAGACATGTGGGCTCTTGGAGTCGGGAAAAGTTGAATTTGAACCCCAACTCCACCATTGAAAGAGTTGTGAGGCTTGCATTCCCTACTTACTTTTTGCCTCGGTTTCCTTACTTATTCAATGCAGATAATAATGGTACATATCCTACTATGGTTGTTGAAAGAATTAAATGAAAAATTCGAGTAAAAATTTAGTACTGGCCTGTCGTGTAGAGGTATGCTGGGGTCTTGTGAGAGCCAATGGTGCACATCTCTTCCTAACTCTGCCTTCAGCAGAAGCGTGCTGGTAGCTTGAAACCAGCCCAGGCAGGAGCATTTATACTCTAGCAACTGGCAAGTGCTGCAAATCAGAGCAACTAGTATGAATTGTAGCAACTGTCGTTACAATCCCCCATTCCATCTGAATATGTATTAACTTATATTTGGATGTAATGGTTTGAGAATGAATTCTATGTTCTGTGGGAAGTATTCTCTCCCCAAAATTTCCAGGAGCTTCCATTCTTCTGATCATCTCATGCACAGAATTCCTGCCTATGACTTGGTGTCTTTATTACTGGAATGCTTGCTTCCTCTCCTCCATATACCCTCTTGGTGGTTGCTGAACGTTTTACTTCATTTTCTCCCAAATGAACAAAAAGCTCTGATGTGAGGCAGATTTTCATTAAATTTTTTTTTTTTTTGAGTGGGGAGGAAGTTGGGGGACACACGTGTCTTAGAACTGCAAAAAGTGCAAATAACTTAAATAATGCTGCTGCTGATGGCAACCACTGCCACTACCGCCACCGTCACCACTCACACAGGTCACTAAGTATGTGCCAGGCCTGCTCCTAAATGCTCTGTGTGTATGAATGTATCTAGTCGCTGTCTTCTGGAGGCCCTTGCCATTATTGCCATCCGACATTCCTGTGTCTATCCTCTTCAGTCTTCAGCCATACTGCTAAACAGTCTACTGCTAAAGGCTTCTGCTTCTCTTTTTTCTACCCTTCTCTCCATTCTTGAACGCCTCAGCCCTTCTTCCCATGCTGTCTACTCCCACCCCAAATTCCGCTCACCTCACTTTGTAGAACAACTGGATTCTTGTCTTGCCTTCACCGACCTAGGTTGTGCTTAAGGCTTCCTCTTTCTTTCTCATGATGAAAAAGATGTTTTTCTTGACCAAGTCCGATAGCCTAGACATGACTTATGCTCTTCCCTCAAGTAGAAGGAGAGGTCACACCAGTTTGTGTTACATGCTTATTATAACCCCTCCAAAATGTGATAAAAGTAAAATGTAAAATTATACACCACCTCTGCATTCCTACTTCCTTGAAGTAACCACTGTGAAGTATAGTCTAAAAATTGTTCAAATGCTCCTACTTAATAATTTTGTGGCTTTGGGCATGCTACTTAGTCTGTGATTCAGTCTTCTCATCTGTGAAACAGGGATACTACTACCTACATCATAGAGTTGGTGAGGGTAAAATGAGATAATGTTCAGTGCCTGGAAAAGTACCAGGGATAAAGGAAGAGCTCAATAAATGGTAGTTATCCTTCCAAATGTTTTCAAAGCATGTAGTGTCCCTATACGTATGTAACATTTTAGTTAATGAAAATATCAGATCTGTAAAAATAGGATTCAAAAATGCGTATTTTTTTCCCCTGAAATTTACTTTTCCCTCTCCCTTAACAATATACTGCTATTCCAAGGTAGTCTACCCTTATTCCTTTAAATGGGTCCAAATGTTCTAAAGAATGCACCATTGATTATTTAAACACTTCCCTGAATGGGGGAATTTGGGTGATTTTTTTGGTCTTACCAATACTCTGAACACATCCTTGTCAATGGACTCTTGTGCACTTATTTCTGCAGGGTAGACTCCCAGAAATGCAAGAGTCGGGTTGAAGGGTGCATATATTTAAGCTTTGGATAGTAGTGTTAAATAGCCCACCACACATTCCATCTCATTTATAGTCCCACTACAGGGCAGAAGTGCCCTCTTCCACACTCCGTCAGTATTTGAATATTATGAAACTTTAAACTTGTTGTCAATCTTT